ACTATATATGGAAAAGTTGTCTCCTCCTCTATTAAAGTGCAACACATTATTTTCCAAGTAGACAAAAAAAAATAATATTACATCTTTACTATACTCACCTGCAGTATATAAACATGGGGGACCTATCTCACAATTTTTCACGCCTATGGCAGCCTACTATGCTGTCTTCATGATTAATTTGATAAAATAGAACTTAGTGGTCTAAGTTCATCATGAACTAAATCTGATGAAAATAACTATTTTGGCGGGGATGAATTAATAGCATGCATTTTGGGTTATAGGAGCATCTCATTCACTTGAACCAATGTGATCATATCTTTAAAATGGTATGTACAAGCCATCAGTAATGTGGTTGCTAATATAGGTAGGTCCGGCTTATGAGCTGTTTGTATTTAAGGAGATGCTCACAACAAATTCTAGTTTATTTGGTGAATGCTTGAAAGATGCATTACTTCATCTGAGCCAAAAACATGAAAAAAACTAAAGGCAATTATGAATTAAACTTGGCTCAAATCTTTAAGATGCAACATTAGTAAGAATGTCCCAAGGGTGAAATTACAAACCATCTGCAATAAATTCAATGTTCTTATTCTGGCAGGAACATTGGACAAAACTTTGGAATTTACTATCATTTGCCTTAAATACAATAAATTAAATTTATGTTAAGAATTGAATATATAATTTTAATTATATAAATAAATAAAATTATATAAATAAAAGATTAACAAGATGAGAGTTCCAGCACCTTTTATTGTTTCAGTTTTAATAATTAATTTTATTTATTTATAATGAATGTGCTTGCATCGTTCGTGTAACTCTATATTTTATTTTAAATTTTAAATTTCATTTAGGAATGGAAAATCAAAAAAGAGGAAATGACATTTCAATGATAAATTGAATAAGGAATTTCCATTCATCACAGTAAAGAAGAATAACATTGTTTTCTGCAATATTTGCAGCAGAGAATTTTGTATTGAGTTGGGGACAGAGCAGCTATTACGAAACACTTGACCACCAAGAGACATATGCAATAATCAGATGCATCTGCTTCCAGTTGTAAAGTAACAAGTTTTTTTAAAACTTCAAAGTATTCTGAAGATGAAAAACAGTTAGCTGCAATGGAGGGAACATTTGCATTCCATACCATAATTCACAATCAAAGTTTTCGTAGTATGGATTGTACAACTAAATTATTGAAAAAGTTTCACGATGCTAAATTTTCATGCACCAGGACAAAATGCGAGGCTATTATTAAATCAGTATTTAAAAATTACTGTGACAAAATACTTACTGAAGACTTGGAAACTGCAGCATTTGTAACGGTTTTATCTGATGCATCCAATCATAATGAAATTAAATTATATCCAATACTACTAAGATATTTTAATGTTACCAAGGGCATTCAAGTAAAAATTTTAAATTTAGAATCCATTGAGGGCGAAACTGCTGAAATTTTGTCAAACCATCTATACAGAGTAATAAATGAAAACAATTTGAAATCCAAAGTTGTTGCACTAACAGCTGATAATACAAACACAAATTTTGGTGGGTGAAGACGCAAAGGGATGAATAACGTGTATGTAAAATTACAAGATTTACTCCAAAAGAAAATACTAGGAATAGGTTGTAATGCACATATTTTGTCAAATGCAATCAACATGGCATCATGTGCCATGCCAATTGATGTAGAAGTAATAATAACTACAATTTATTTGTATTTTAGTCGTTTTACTGTTCGTGTGGCTACTTTAAAACAATTTTGTGAAGAAGCGAATGTTCAATACAAAAAACTTTTAGGATATTCAAAAGTTAGATGGCTTGCTCTAACACCTGCTATAGAGCCTGTTCTACAATTATTTGAGCCTCTCCATTCATATTTTTTAAGTTTAGACAAATGTCCTAAAATCCTGGAATCGTTTTTCAATAATGAAATATCTGAGATATTAATGTATTTTGTACATAATCAAGCATCTAATTTTCACAAAACGATTCAAAAGATTGAAGGTGAACACATTTCAGCTACAGAAGTTGGTCTTATTTTGAATGACTTTATCCTTCAATATAAAACTCGATTTGAAGAAAAATTTCTTCCTTTAGTTATAAAAAGAAAATTGTCAGGCTTAGAGGAATCAAATCCGGGCATAACGGAAAAGTTTATCAAAGAAGTGCAGAATTTTTACCAAACATGTTTTCAATATATTGAAGAATGGTCTGAAACAAACATCACAGGAAATAACAGTTTTCAATGGTGTTTTTTGACTTCATCGCAAGTATATTGGACAGATATTGAATCTTGTATTGAGTTTTTATCTAAAGAAATGCCAGACATTAAAATAGACGATAATTGTCTCTTTGAAGAAATTAGAAAACTGAATGTATATTTAAATTCTGAAAAATTAATACAATGGGAAAATGAACAGGTTGAAATTGATAAAAGATGGGTGGAAATATTCAGCCATTTCAAAAATGAACATATTTCATGTGAAAATTTATTTATTCTTGTTCAATTTACGTTGTGCTGCCTGGAACTAATATAGCAGTTGAAAGGGTTTTTTCAATTGCTAATGATTTTTGGACAAGTGAGAAATCGAGATTGAATGTTGATACTCTAGCTGCAGCACTTGCCGTAAAATTCAATATGAAGGATATTTCTTGTTCAGATATTTCCAATATATTGTTAGAAGATGATACATTGACAAAAAATATTCATTGAATGGAAAAGTACTCATTTAAATAATTAATAGGCATGTAAGCATAATTACAATATAAAATGTTATTGTTACAAATGTTTTTTATTATGCATTTGTCATATTATAGTGTATTCTGTATTATTGTTGCAATAAATACAATGTTTCTTTTATTTACGATATTTTTTTCTTCAATTTATTTGTGTCCTCCTTTGTTGTAAAAAAGTTGGTCACCTTACTACATAACAAGACCAGATGGGCAGATTTGATTTTCACTACTATATGCATTGCTAAAGGTATCCTTATGCTGCACAATAAAGGTTTTTAAAATTATTGATATTTCTATTGAAGTCAAAAACCTACTGGTAATGAAGTGGAGACTTCAGAATAAATGCCCTTCTTATTTGATGTGGGGATGGCCCATCAAGAATTTAGCTGCAAACTATTTATGAGTGCCTGAGATTTATAATACAAGTCATCTGGACCTTCCCTGAATTTCTACAAGATAACTTTGCAACTTAAAGTCTTTGCACCATTCTCTTATATTTTCAGAAAAGTAATGCTGTTGGTTTGAATAAGCTGGTGTCAAAATAAATATTTGCTCAGGCCAGAATACCTACCCATATTGAAGAAGCAGACATTTTGTTAACATCATTGTTGGTACACTAGCAAAAGCATTTCAGTTTATTGGGGTTTCATGCAGAGTTATGGTTTCATGGGATGATGTAATGATATCCTGAAAAATAAAATGTCCTAGCTTTATAGTCAATCTAATTTTTGGTAAAATCAAATGTTTTGGTAAAATCAAATGTGGAAATTTAGTAATGAGGATATATTATATCATCAGTGGAGGAGAGCCAGTTAGATTAATAAGATTAATTATTTGCTAACAATTTTATATGAGTATGTATACAACAAGAACTTAAGCTTTATTATACAGTACTTCAAACAGGAAACTATGAAAGGCCAACCAAGAATCTTACAAGCTATTGAATGCACTCAAGGATTTGTATTCATCTAATGTTCTACAAAAACTTTCACAATACTGCGTCATTGTTTTAAACAATAAAGAAAAGTTAATGAAAAGAAAAGAAAACCTAAATTAACAAGTACTTCACTTTTGTAAGATCTGACAAAATTTCATGGGTGCTACATAAAGGTTTATTTGAAAACTCTTGGTAAAAAAAAAATATGTACTTTTTTTGTCGAGGCTACTTCCCTGTCCCTACTGCAACTCCTCATGGGCCCCCTCTGTTTCCCCCCCTTCCCTCAAATCTAGTTTTCACAGCCATTTTACCTTTGAACCAATATAGGTGATAGAAATCATCTTGTGCTATTATTATGGCAATCTGAAAGTCATTATAGAGCCTGTCCTTTGGGTTAAAGTCAACTTAAACAAAGCTAAAGTTCCTTCTCATGCAACTTTTTATCACAAAAATTGCATAGTTAATATGTGTTTTGATAAAACTTTTTAAAAATGGATTGAACAAAACAAAATCTCTTGTGACCCAATTAATACAATTTGAAGGCTATTTTAATAGCTGTTGTTTGGACTAAAGTCAATGTAAAGTTTGAATTCCAATGTCAAACGCATAATTTCAGTCAGTACTGATCAACTGAGAAATGAACTCCTTGGGAATGAAAATGGTTCCCATCTCTCTAGCACTTCCAGGTGTGAGAAAATGATATTCAAAGTGTTCCAGCTCATTGTGAATCCTGCTACATTGAAAAGGAGTCTGATCTTTTGGTTCTTTTCACAGACTGCAAAGAGGAAACAGCACTATGGAAAATCAATCAGGAGTTGGTGAATTCCTTCTGCATGGATTCCCTGACACTGAGGAGCTAAGAATAGTTCATATTACCACTTTTTTAGTAATTTATTTGGTAGCACTCACTGAGAATCTCATTATTATCACCGTCATTCTTCACAGTCATCAACTTCACTCACCCATGTATTTTTTTCTAGCCAACCTATCTTTCCAAGATCTTGGTTCCATCTCTGTCACAGTTCCTAAATCACTACTGAATTCTTTGATGAACACTGAAACTATTTCTTACTCTGGGTGTCTCTGTCAAGTTTTCTTTTTTGTTTTCTTTGTAATGTCTCATCTCTTCCTCCTTGTCGTCATGGCATATGATCGTTATGTAGCCATCTGCAATCCACTACATTATGAGATAGCAATGAACAAAAAAGTCTGTGTCCAAATGGCAACCAATGCATGGATGGGTGGCCTTTTCTACTCTGCTCTCTATACTGGAAATTTATTCACAATGGAATTCTGTTCCAGAGTCATCAATCAATTCTTCTGTGACATTCCTCAGTTGCTCCAGATCTCCTGCTCTGATTCATACTTCACCAAATTCTGGACTCTCATCTTTGGTTCTTGTTTAGGATTCATTCAGTTTGCTGTAATTGCTTTTTCTTACATGCAGATCTTCAGAGAAGTTTTTAGAATCCCATCCTCCCAAGGAAAACAAAAGGCCTTGTCTACTTGCTTACCCCATCTCACAGTCATTTGTTTGTTTGCGGTAAGTGGTACCCTTGCCTATTTCAGTCCAACATCTACCACCTCTTCAGCCTTATATCCATTTATATCAATATTTTACTGTGTGGTACCGCCACTCTTAAACCCACTAGTTTATAGCATGAGGAATAAGGAACTCAAAATGGCATTCTGGAAACAAATTCTCAATATTTGTCCTAATTCCTTGTGCAAAAATCATTCTTGGTTTCAACTATTCTGATAAACTGTAACATAGACATGTTGTCATCAGAAACATATACATTTCATGTCAATGTGTAAATTTAGCATATGCGTCTCATCCCTATGCATGTTTCATCAAGATAGAAATTATTTTTACCAGGTATAATTCCCAGTAAATCTGCCTATAATTGTAACATAAATCTCTTCCATTAAATATCTAATGAAATATAGATTTATCAATAATGTATTATTTTTTCTGTTTATTTTTTAATGCTATGAGGAAAAAATATCTTACCATTTTGCTTATTACATATGCATATAATTGCAGGAATGGCTAGTTTTTTCTACAGTCATCCATCCATGTTAACTACGTGGCAATGGATTACAATGATGTTTCATTTATTGTGGAGATATTTTAAAGGACTTTGTTTGGCAAGCAAGTTTCTTTTACAAAACCTGGCATAGTGCATAGGGAAAAAGGGGAATATGAGTGAGAATAAAATTTGCAGAAATTATAAATTATTTGTTTATGCCCCACGTTGTAGAAAGGTGGAATTGAACTGTTTGAAGTATCTGTATTTAAGCAGTGGTCTCTGAACCTCTATTTAATGCATCAAGGACTTACTTTAATTTCAGATTTTAGGCAAGCAGTAAACCAAAACTAAAGGGTAAAATCCAACAAATTTGTAAGTACATCATGATCAATGAAGTGTCAGTTCTACTAGAAAGAAGTACTCAGCATTATTTTAAAATAAATAAATAAAAACAAAGCTTTGAATTGAAACTGTAGTTCTTTCTACTAAATCTTTCCAGAAGAAATTTTAAAGAATGTCAAATTATTATTATATATGCTGCTGACCCCAAAGACAAATTTCTCACAATGTCAAATTGGGAAAACAACTTGTGAAATATGCAGTAATGGCAAAATTAACAATGTAATCAAGAGCAAATGTTTGACAAAATTTCAATAACAATGATTATTGTTATATTACCTTATAATGATAAGTTAATCTCAGATACTGAGTGTTGTGTCCTGAGCCTGCAGAGGCAGGCTCGGGACGTTGCAATGGTCCCAGGCAGTTGCAAGCTGCCTGGGACCAGACTGGCTGGTGCCAGCGCTCGTGCGCATGCGCGAGGTGCACAGCGCGCCTAAATGTTGCTTTTTGGCCCGGGATTTGTCTTTAAGAGAGGCTGAGAGGCTTGTGCTGCTCAGAGTTGTAACGGGGGCTACTGAAGAGCAATAAAGAGTTCCTGAAACCACAGAATGTCTCGAGCCATCATTGCCATTAATCGAGGACTCAACACTGGCGACGAAGGTGGGATGGCCTTACAATTACACAAAGAATTGTAAGCTTACCCTGGAGTCCTGACACAGCAAGGAAACGGCGTTAAATTCAGCAACTTCCTGCCAATACAGCTTCGTTGGAGGTAAGCTGGCTGATAGACCCTTCCTGTTTTACTGAAGATGGCAAAGATAGGGAAACTTTCTGAGTTTGATGTTACACATCCAGATAGATGGGAGTCTTATGTGGCCCGAGCAGAAAATTATTTCAGAGTTAATCAAGTAAGAGAAGATGGCTTAAAGGCCACCACCCTACTGTGTGTTTGTGGTCAAGATGCATTTGAAATCATTGAAAATTTAGTAGCCCCTGCACCTCTTGAATCTGTTACCTACACAGATTTAAAGAAATTATTAAAAGAGCATTTTCAACCCAAGTTATCTGTTATTGCTTGGAGACATACTTTTGAACAGAGGGATCAATGGGCTGGTGAATCAGCTAAAGAATACATTGCTGCATTAAGAAGAGCAGCTAAGAATTGTGAGTTTAAAGACTTAGAGGAAAGGCTGAGAGACAGATTTGTATGTGGACTGAGAAACAGAGATGTGCAGCAAAGACTTTTCACTAAAGAGGACATATCGTTCCAAGATGCCTTGGGAGAGGTTACTGCAGAAGAGGCAGCAAGTGGGGCAATCAAGAATATGAGGCCTATCAGAAGTACTCCAGAAGCTGTTTCTGTGTACCACGAGGGAGTCCAAGGAAGCTCGGAAGAGGAACCTGATGAAGAAGTAGATCATCTCTACGCAACCAAAAAAGGGAAGCAGAGGGAAGGCAAAGAAAGGTCTTCCCCTGTACCCAAGTGCTTTGGGTGTGGAGGTCGCCACAAGAGGACTGACTGCAAGTTCCGTTCTGCAATCTGTAGAGCATGTGGGAAGCAAGGCCACATAGCAGCTGTGTGTCTGGGCCATCAGAGGGTACAACCCCGAGAAGAATTGTGCCTGAAAGGTACCAGGGTCCCCAGCCAAAACAGGGTGGGTTTCTGTGCTTCACGAAGAAGCATTTATAGGACAGGCACACACAAGCCACTTAAAAAGAAATTGTCACTTAAGGTGAAGTTGCAAGGGATTCCATTGGTCATGGAACTAGACACTTGGTTTGCACTTTCAATCATTTCCATTCACATATTCAAAAAGATTTGCTCTGGTAGTGGTTTTCAGGCCAAGCTTAGGCCTTCTAATATAGTGCTAACAGACTTCCAAAACTCCAAGGTGTGTGTTAAGGGGGAGGCCACCCTTAATGTGCAGTATAAGGATTTTGAAGGTCCATTAGATGTATTGATAGTGGGGGGTCAGCGCACGAGTCTCATAGGACTCGATTGGTTTGAGGCCTTGGGAATACAAGTTACAGGGCTCAATAGCTTGCAAACAGTAGATTTACAGGAAGTCTGCCAAGAATTTGCAGATGTTTTCAGCCCACAGCTGGGCACATACAAAGGACCCCCAGTCTCTTTGAAGTTGGACCCCACTGTCACTCCTATCAGAGTAAAAGCAAGAAGGGTACCTTTTGCTTTAAAAGGGAAAATTGATGCTGAATTGGACAAATTGATTCAGCAAGGAGTCTTAGAACCTGTTGACTCCAGTCCTTGGGAAACTCCCATAGTCACGCCTCTTAAGGCTAATGGGGACATTCGCATCTGTGCAGATTACAAATGCACTCTCAATAAGGCATTGCAACAACATGCCTATCTTGTACCTATAGTCAGCCATATTCTGGCCTCCCTCAAGGGGGGACGTGTTTTTGCAAAGCTTGACTTAGCACAGGCTTATCAACAGCTGCCTATTGATGAAGCTGCTGCTGTAGCACAAACCATTGTAACTCATAGGGGGGCATTCAAAGTTAAGAGACTACAATTTGGAGTAAACGTAGCTCCTGGAATTTTCCAAAGTGTAATGGAAAATACTTTGAGGAGCATACCAGGGGTTTGCCCCTATTTTGATGATGTCTTAATTGCTGGAGACTTCACTGAGAGATTGAGGGCTGTCCTGCTGCGGTTCTGGAAAACAGGACTCAGGCTTAAAAAGGACAAATGTAAAATTGGGGTGCCTTCTACGGATTTTCTGGGATTCAAAATTGATGCCAATGGGATTCATCCTGCTGAGTCCAAATTAAAAGCTATCTTGCAAGCTCCTAGACCTAAGTCCAAAGCTGAACTGCAAGCTTTTCTGGGACTCTTGAATTTTTATAATTCCTTCATTCCTAATAAGGCTAATGTAGCTGAACCACTTCATAGGCTTCTGGACAAACAGGCAGTGGTCACAGGCACATGAAGCAAGCTTCAATGAGGTTAAGGCCTTGCTAACGTCCAACAATGTGCTTGCACACTTCAATGAAACTCTTCCTGTGTGCATCGCTTGTGATGCTTCTCCTTATGGAGTAGGAGCAGTACTCAGTCATCTCAGACCAGATGGAACTCAGGTTCCTGCTGCATATTACTCCAGAACATTGTCCTCTGCTGAAAGGAATTATGCCCAGATAGACAGGGAGGCCCTAGCTGTTGTTGCTGGAATTAAAAAATTCCATGATTTTTTTGTATGGCAGACATTTCATGGTCTACACTGATCATAAGCCTTTGTTGGGGTTGTTTACCACTAACAAACAGACCCCCCACATCATCTCCCCCAGGATGCTCAGATGGTCAATATTCCTGTCAGCTTATGACTTTTCTCTAATTCACAAACCTGGCAAGGAAATGGGCCATGCTGATGGCCTCAGTAGATTACCCTTACAAATAGTAGAGGCTGATCCTGCCCCGGCAATCAACATCCTTTCAGTTCAGGCACTGCCTGAATCACCTCTAAATGCCAGGGATGTGGCTGCTGAATCAGCCACGGATCTCACACTTTCTCGTGTCTTATCCTGGGTTTTGTCTGGTTGGCCAGAGAGTTGTCCAGGCACTGAGTTTCAGAGTTTCTGGCTGAAAAGGAACGAGTGATCCACTTTCCAAGGTTGTCTGCTGTGGGGCAGCAGAGTTGTCATTCCTACCTCAATGAGGTCTAGGGTCTTAGGTTCCCTTCACGAGGGTCATCCTGGCATTGTATGAATGAAGGCGCTTGCACGCAGCCATTTATTGTGGCCTGGGTTAGACAAGGAAATTGAGGCTAAGGTGCATGCTTGCCACCTTTGTCAGCGCTCATGTCCAGAAATGCCCCAGGCTCCTGTGCATAGATGGGAAGAAACACAGTCTCCATGGTCTAGGGTGCACATCGATTACACTGGGCCCTTTCAGGGTCAATTCTTCTTGGTCCTGGTTGATAGCTATTCAAAATGGCTTGAGGTTGTACCTGTCTCCTCCACCACCACTGCAAAGACTATCCAAGTACTGAGGGGGATTTTTGCTGCACATGGGCTTCCGGATGTTTAGGTGTCTGACAATGGCCCTCAATTCACTTCTTCCAAATTCCAAGTTTTCTTACAGGCCAAGATGATTCGTCACTCCACCTCTGCCTTTCTACCCTTCCATCAACGGGATGGCTGAACGGATGGTCCGCATCACCAAGGATGCTTTAAAGAAACTGACCTATGGGGACTGGCATCACAGGTTGGCTGACTTCCTCCTTGCTTACCGCACTACACCTTCCACTTCTACGGGGAGAAGCCCAGCTAAACTTCGCTGGGGGTACAAACTGACTACTAAACTTGACCAGTTGCACCCAGACAGACTGCCTCCTAGGGGTATACAACCCAGGGCACCGAGGCAATTGCAAGTGCGTGCCCCAGTATGGACCCGTAACTACGGGCCAGGTCACTTGTGGGGTCCTGCCACAGTTTGCAAGGTTACAGGTCCTTTGTCCTACGAGGTCTCCTTGGATGATGGTCATATCCTGAGACAGCATATCGACCAGTTGCGTACAAGACTGGACTTACCTTCAGAGACTCCTGGTTCTTTTCCGGGGGGAGGGGGACCCCTACGGGCAAAGGGAAGGGTGTTGGCAGCAACCAGGCCCCAACAGAGAGGCCACAGATGGCCTATACCAAGATTCCGTGAGTGTTCCGAACAGGAATTCAGGGGAACCAGCTAGCGCACAGGCTACAGTGCATACTCCAGCCAGGGAGTCACCCCGGGGGCATAATCATTACACACTTACACCTTTCAGCACTCCAGTCTGGGAGAATAACCGGGAGCATCCTAATAACTCAAACATTGCAAGAGAGCTGGCACACAATCAACACAATTGGCCTAATATAGCCACTGTCCCCAGAAAAGGACACTTCCACAGGGAAGTGATAGAAGGGCCAAATCCAGATCCTGAACCCTCTGGTTCAACGGAGGAGGCACCTGAGTTTTGGGACAGTACTGAAATTACAGACAGTCCTACTATGGAACTGGGGAGTGGAAGAAGGCAGCCTCATGCTAGGTCCACTGTGGGCTTGAGAGACTCTTCAGAGTTGCCCAACAAGTTGCTTCCTAGAGGGAACAGAATGCCTGCAACTAGGCAGGTCAACCAGGTTAGAGAGAGAGCAAAGTCCTGGTCTGACGAGCCCCGTGGGCAAGCAAGCAGGCCAGGCAACAGGGCATGGTCCACGGGGGCCACCAGGGTCTGAGAAAGGGGGTGAACCTATAGCCTCCTCTGGACAAGGTGTACATGGGAATTATCAAGGTCTACTCAGATCACAGAGAGATGAGAGGTCTCCCAAATATCTTGAAGATTTTATAACTTTTCTGGCCAAGCAGAAACAGTAAGAGTGTGTTTCTGTGGAAGCCGGAAATGGGACACTGGGAAGTAATGGCCAAAACAATAGCATGGTACCATTGAGCAAGGGTGGGCATACCACGCTCGTGTTGAGGTCGCGTGTAATTATTCATGTAGTCTTAGCAGGAGAGGAAGGGGTGCCTGCAGAGGCAGGCTTGGGACGTTGCAATGGTCCCGGGCAGTTGCAAGCTGCCCGGGACCAGACTGGCTGGCGCCAGCGCTCGCGCACATGTGTGAGGCGCGCCGCGCGCCTAAATGTTGCTTTTTGGCCCAAGATTTGTCTTTAAGAGAGGCTGAGAGGCTTGTGCTGCTCAGAGTTGTAACGGGGGCTACTGAAGAGCAATAAAGAGTTCCTGAAACCACAGAATGTCTCGCGCCATCATTGCCGTTAACCGAGGACTCAACACTGAGCATACAGTTTTTAAAGAGTAATTTTTTAATGTAAAACATTAATCAATTTGACTATATATTATAAATATTCTCCTCCTCCTCCTCCTCCTCAAGAACATGTGGAGGAATTTTAGAAATAGTAAATTAAATATTAATGTTTAGAGTTTTCTAGTGATTTTTAATTGTTTCATAAGATGACATGAGTCTGCATTTATATTTTAATTATTTAATAAATGAAATAAACAAATAATGAATTTTAATTTGTATTACAATTGTAAATTCTCTGATTATTTTACTGATTTCCATTGTCTATGTCCTATGAGATGATTTCGGCTGAAAGACTGGCCCAAAAGGGGAGGACTAACACTGATTGATGCAGCACGTTCACCACCATGCCAAATTGGTTCTTTATATATCTATACCTTTATTGTACACTGGCCAGAATTGCTGGATTACAAATCTTGTAAAACATATATGTAAATTGGGGGATTGGAATTGAATTGGATGCTTTTATATTGTAACTGTAGCATGATCTTAACAACACTTTTAGTTTAATGGGTTGCCAAATGGTCCTATGTGCATGTTTTGAAATATCTTTTCGAATACAAAGTCTAGAAATGATTCTGTCTGTATGTGTGTGTGTGTGTCCTGCCTAATGCAGGACTAGCATTTACAGTCATCTACCTTTTAGATTGATACCTTACTACTACACCTAATTGGGTATCAGATATCCAGTCATATGAAAGACAAAGTACAGCCTCTTTGAGTTTTATGGTCTCATAATAAAAATAGCCTGGTTCTTAGAAGTTTTTTTTAAAAAGATAAATATAGCCTCATATAAACAATAACACATGACATATTACACCATGTCATCATTTATGCTACAAAAAGAAAGCTAAAATGGAGAAGCTATGTGTGAAAAAGTAAGTACACCCAATGATTCAATAGCTTATAGAACCCCCTTTAGCAGCAATAACTTGAAGTAATTATTTTCTTATGACTTTATCGGTCTCTTACATTATTGTGGAATGATTTTGGCCCATTCCTCTTTACAAGATTGCTTTAGTTCATTGAGGTTTATGGGCATTTGCTTATGTATAGCTCTCTTGAGATTTCACCACGTTATTTCAATCTGGTTAACATCTGGACCTTCACTGGGTCATTGTAACACCTTGATTCATTCTTTTTCTGTCATTCTGCTGCAGATGTTCTGGTGTGCTTGGGATCATTGTCTTGTTCCATGATCCAATATCAACCAAGCTTTAATTGTCAGACAGATGGCTTCACATTTGACTCTAGAATACTTTGGTGTGCAGAGAAATTCATGCTCAACTCAGTGACTACAAGGTGCCCAAGTCCTGGAGCTACAAAACAAGCCCAAATAATCACCTCTTCACCATTATGCTTGATGATGGGTATGAGATGTTTGTGCTGATATGCTGTGCTTGGTTTTTGCCAAATGTGGCATTATGCATTATAGCCAAACAACTCCACTTTGGTCTTGTCTATCCAAAGGACATGTTCCAGAAGTTTTAGCATTTATTCAGATGCAACTTTGCAAAGGAGCTTTGCTGCCATGTTCTTTTTAGAGAAAAAAAAACTTTTTCCTGGCAACCTTTCCAATTAAACCATACTTGTTCAGTTTTTTTGTAATTGTACTATCATGAACTTTAACATTAAACTTATAACTGAGGCCTGTAGAGTCTGAAATGTTGCATTTTGTTGCAATTTCTCTAAGCATTGCATGGTCTGACTTTGGGATGAATTTGCTGGAACATCCACTCCAGAAAGATTGGCTACTGTTTTGAATTTTTGTGAATAATCTTCCTCACTGTAGAATACTGGACTTTAGAAATGAACAATTGCTTTTCTAAGATCATTGCTGATGTCTTTATCCTTTGACACTGTGTTATATCTCAATGCTGGAGATCAGCAAACATCTAAAACTTTGACCTTTGTAGAGGTAGTCATACTTGCTAAAGATCAATTAATCAAGGGCACTTCATTAGCAGAACCTGGCTTAGCCTCTTTCTACATATGAAAGCAGTAAGGGTATACTTACTTTTTCACACATGGCTTCTCCATTTTGGCTTCCTTTTTGTAAAATAAATGATGACATGGTGTAATATGTCATGTATTATTGTTCATCTGAAGTTGTATTTACCTACTTTTAAGAACTACTAAAGACCAGATGATCTTTACTATGTCCTGATATGTAAAACCATAGAACACAGAGTGGGTGTATTTACTTTTTCACATGACTGTAACTGTAACTATTAATAAACAAATTGACATTTCAGTAACTATGAGACAGAAGGGTCAGCAAGAAGCAATTAAAGAAATTTGGGAAAATATAGACCACCAAATAAACATTAAATGAATGTGGAAAAATACATTGAGAGTAGGGATGGATAAAATCTCAGCTCATCAATTACAAAAGTTTTATTACTGGGAATTATATACTGTGTTTTATTATAATAGTTTAGTTAGTTTAGATTTGGAAACAACAACAACAACAACAACAACAACAACAACAATAATAATAATATACAGAACTGAAATAATGGACTGGAATCAAGCAGAACTAAAAGTCCTAGAAGCCTGGAATAATAATGACAGTGAATCATGCTTTTCATCGACATTATTGTTGCAAAGTTGACAAACTCTTCCCAGGGAAGCAGGACTTTTAAGGATAGTCACTTAAAACGACTGGCATTCAGAGCATTAGCTATATGACCCAATATCAAAATTCAAAGGTGTTCTTTTGGCTAGCACAAGATAGTAAATGGCTGTAAATACAGGGCAGGAAGAAAAGGTTCAGGTATTGTGTGTTGGCAATGAAAATCAAAGAAGAAAACAATGAAGTTGAAAGGGCAAAGGACCATCTAAAGAGATCTGTTTATAAGTTCAGCAGAGTTTGAGTTGGTTAATCACTGAATTCAAGATCATCAGGGAGTACAAAGATATAGTCTTGACTAGGAAGATAAAAAATATTCCTCACTGAAAAAAACATATTGGAACAAACAACCCACATGTATGCCCCAAAGCTGTATGAATGTGTCCAAGGGTTGAGAGGTGTTGAAACTGACTCAAGGCTTTCTTTTTTTCCCTCTTGAACTATAATGGAGTTTCCCCAATTATATTATGCAGAGAACAGTAGAAAGATGTCAAAATGAAGTAGAACTAGGCAACATTTTAGATTTGAAAGCAAATGGTATTCATGAATGGGCATTATGACACTAACTGGCAATTTTTAAACAAAATGTGTCCAACTTTTAGAAGACATTGTTTTCAATCTAAATAATTTTGCACATTCGTTTCCAAAGTTTGTAATTCAAAACAGTGGTATACGTATAGGCATAAAACATACATGCAAATCAAATCAAACCATCTCTCAATGGATGCCTACAGAAATAAATTAGGACTAAAAGCACAGTGATTTTTTTTTAAGTTGACAATATGTATCTCAAAGCAACTTTTCCTTTCAGATTCAAAGTCCCAGTTAGCCTCAACATCTGTTATCCTTAACAATTTTTATGGTTCTTTATTTGAGGATAAAATCGCATTTGAAAATTCTTGGAAAACTGAGATATTTATAAATAAAATCCTATGGTATAACAACTCCATTATGAATAACTCAAAATTATATTTGTACAAGATATGTTTAGATTCCCAAGAACATTTCCATTTCAGTGAATTGTACTTGTCATATTATGTTATCCCTCTGAGAAGGAGACATGTGCATCTTGATAGGATCTATATTTATTTAACAGAATTTTAAAGGAAAAGAGATTAAATACATAACACCATTGTGGAATCATATTTAGATATGATAACTGTATTATATTAAAATTATTTAAACACAAAATTAAAGTCATCTAAATAACACAGTAATATATAGTCAACACTGATATATCACAAAACATTAATATTCATTAAAATATACTTGTGATTTAATGGCAATTCTGGGCAAATTTATTGAGGAATAATATTTATTTGTGAGAAAACATTTATATATATTTCACCCATCAGACATGGAATTCAAAGATCTTTTTTAATTACAATATTTCTAGAACATATATAAACAATTGTAACTGTTTATAAGTGTAGCTGAAACTGAGAATGATTTTTGCAGAAGGGATATGAACATGTATGGAAAACTAGCTTCCAGAATGCCATTTTGAGCTCGTGGTTCCTTACGCTGTAGATTAGAGGGTTTATGAGTGGTGGTACAACACTGTAGAACAAAGAAATCAAGAGATCTGATGTTGATGGGGAACGGTATGTGGGTCTCAGGTATGCAAAGGTACCACTAACTATAAACAGACAAATGACTATAAGGTGGGGTAAACAAGTAGAGAAAGCCTTCTGCTTCCCCTGTGTAGATGGGATTTGCAAAACTGCTCTAAAAATCTTAACATATGAAAAGACAATCAGAGCAAAAAGAAAGAACCCTACACAAGAACCAAAGATGAGTGCCTGCTCTTCTGCAACATAAGATTCAGAGCAAGAAATCTTGAGCAACTGAGGAATTTCACAGAAAAACTGATTGATAATTCTGGAACAGAACTCCACTGTGGATAAATTTCCAATATAGAGAGCTGAGTAAAAAAAACCACCCATCCATGCACTGGTTGCCATTTGGACACAGACTTTTTTATTCATCACCATCTCATAGTGTAATGGATTGCAGATGGCTACGTAACGATCATATGCCATAACAACAAGGAGGAAGAGATGAGACATTACAAAGAAAACAAAGAAGAAAACTTGACAAAAACATCCAGAGTTAGAAATGGTTTCAGTGTTCATCAAAGAATTCAGCATGGACTTGGGAACAGTGACAGAGATGGAGCCAAGATCTTGGAAGGATAAATTAGCCAGAAAAAAATACATGGGTGAATGAAGTTGATGACTATAAAGAATAACAGTAATGATAACAAGATTCTCAATGAGGGACACCAAATAAATTAGTAAAAAAATGATGATATGGAATATTCGAAGCTCCTTAGTATTAGGAAATCCATGCAGAAGGAATTCATCAATTCTTGACTGATTTTCCATAGTGCTGTTTCTGTGGTGCAGTCTGTGAAAAGAATTCAACTATCAGACTTTTTTCCATGCATCAGAATTCAAGTCTGACTGAAACATTTTGAAGATAATTTTCTTCATCTTGGCAGCATAAGAGAGAAGGAATTAAAGCTTTATCTATAGAGTGCTTGCAATTATCCTCAAGGGAGCTCATTTTGTGGAAGCCTACTTTGGTTCAGGAGCCCTGGGATATATTAGGTATGTAAGAAATTTGGACTTTTTGTTTACACTCTATTTAATCCAAGTAAAAAGGGGTAATTTGTTTTCCAGTTGGTTTTAATTGTTTAATTTTAATTGTTTCATTGTTTATTCTCATGGATGATAGGGTCTGAATGCAACGCATTCTGTTTTGTCATTCTAAATAAAACTGGTAACTCAGCCTTTAGGAGCCTTTGATAGGGCAATGCTATAGCCTATATGTCTTTCTTGGAATCTGAAGTTCATTATAGAACTCACACTTGTATTTTAAATTGCTGCATTTATTGCTCTTTCTTTCTTTCTTTCTTTCTTTCTTTCTTTCTTTCTTTCTTTCTTTCTTTCTTTCTTTCTTTTTTTCTTCCTTCCTTCCTTCCTTCCTTCCTTCCTTCCTTCCTTCCTTCCTTCCTTCCTTCCTTCCTTCCTTCCTTCCTTCCTTTCTTCATTATAACAAGAAATTTCTATTGCAAATGGAAAATTATTTTTGGACATGTGATAAATATTCTTTCAAATGAGACACATTTGTTTCTTAATCTCCTATGCTCAAGTTGACATTAGACACTTTGACTTAAACATTTCTTTTATTTCTGGTGCTTGTTTATATTTATACTGCCAGAAGTTAAACACTTTGGCTTCAAAAGAATATAAAAAGTATTTGTTTGTTTATTTACTTATTTAATTTATATCTAATTTACATATATACTCATGTAGTTGGAATTATCATACTTTTGATTCTTAGATTTAAAAATCAAAGATTTTTGGAAATATTCATTTTTATTGTTTGCTAACTAAGGATCCTAATAGATACATTACAGTAACTGAAATTGGATTAACTGTATTGCTTTGTTTATAAATATCCTATAGGTTGTGCAGAGCAGCAATCCATGGTACTGTTCATAAACTGAATAATGAATGTGATCAATCCACTTTATTAAGAAGTACCAATAAAGGCATATCAAGGTTGATGGGTGCTATCTCGGTCTTCCTTCTTCAAATAATTCAATTGCTTTGTCAAGCTTTTGCTAGTCTCTATTTCAATTTTTCATGGCCAATGTTGAAGTACTTTGGCCAAACATATGTATGTATGTATGTATGTATGTATGTATGTATGCAGTGGTGGGATTCAAATCCCTGAATAACTGGTTCTCTGTGTGGATGCAGGCCTGGGCCTCTGAAGCCTAGAATGGACTTCCGGAATTGGCATCCCCGCACTTCTGGCAGGCCATTCTAGCCTGAGAGGCCTCCTCCAGGTCTCCCAGGACTAGAATGGACTTCTGGAAGCAGTGTACATTCAGCCAGTTCTCTGAACTCAACAAAATTTAGCTACTGGTTCTGCCGAATCAGTACGAACCAGCTGAATCCCATCACTGTATGTATGTATGTATGTATGTATGTATGTATGTATGTATGTATGTATGTATAAGAGAGAGATGGATAGATCTCTATTTCCCATATGAATTTTACTTTTAAAATGGAAGTGAACATAGAAAATCTCTAGTCCTTGTTCTTCGGTTTAAAGCCAATATAAACAAAAGTTCCAAGCACCTGGTGAACCTAACTATGCTTTTGCAAAATGAATCCCCTTGAGCACAATTACAAATACATCATAGATAAAAGTTTAATTTCTTCTCTCTCACATGGTTAGGTCAGAGAAAATTGTTTTCAAAGTATATCTTGAATAGTGGTGTATGGAAAAGAATCTAATTTAGTGTGAGTTCCACAGAATGCAAAGCCTGAGGAGTACTATGGAAAATCAGACAAGAGTTGATGAATTCCTTCTGCATGGATTCCCTGATACTGAGGAGCTTCGGATATTTCATGTCATCATTTTTTTAGTAATTTATTTGGTGGTCCTTATTGAAAATCTCATTATCATCACTGTCATTCTTTATAGCTATCAACTTCATTCACCCATGTATTTTTTTCTGGCCAACTTATCTTTCCAAGATCTTGGCTCTATCTCAGCCATAGTTCCTAAGTCCATGCTGAATTCCTTAATGAACACTGAAGCTATTTCTTATGCTGGGTGTTTCTGTCAAGTTTTCTTCTTTGATTTCTTTGTGATATCTCATCTCTTCCTTCTTGTTGTCATGGCATATGATAGTTATATAGCAATTTGCAAACCATTGCATTATGAAACAGTAATGAACAAAAAAGCCTGCATCCAAATGGTAATTAGTGCCTTTTTTTCAACAGTCTATACTGGAAATTTATTCACACTGAATTTCTGTTCCAGAATCATCAACCAGTTCTTCTGTGAAATTCCTCAGTTACTCAAGATCTCTTGCTCAGACTCTTATGTTACAGAAGAATTGGCACTTATCTTTGGTTCTTGTGTAGGGTTTATTCTTTTTGTTCTAATTGTGTTTTCATATGTTAAGATTTTTAGAGCAGTTTTGCAAATCCCTTCTATCCATGGGAAGCAAAAGGCCATCTCTACTTGTTTACCCCACCTTATAGTCATTTGTCTGTATGTGGTAAGTGCTAGCCTTGCTTATTTCAGTCCAGCCTCTATCTCTTCTTCAGCATTAAATCCGTTTATCTCAATATTTTACTGTGTGGTACCACCAGTCATGAATCCATTGATCTACAGCATGAGGAACAGTGAACTCAAAATGGCATTCTGGAAGTTAATTCTCCATGTTTGTCCACATTCCTTATGCAAAAATCATTTTCAGATTCAGCTACCCTGATAAACAGTTCCAGTTGTCTATATATATATATTAGGATCATTGTTGTTCCCTGTCCAGTGGGTGAATTGAATATTTTTGTTTCTCAGAAATAAATATTTGATTCTCCAGGAATCATCCCTAAGAACAGCCATTTAAATCTTAATGATATTTTTCCCATTGTAAATATATTTTAATATAAATTAATGCTTTGCAATATAGCATAGAACATAAGTAAACATTATTATTTGATGTAATATAATTATTGTCTTTATTGCTTATGTACTACTATTTTAATTGTATGACATTTATTTTGGTTTGAAAAAGTTATGCATTATTATATTTTTATGCTAAATTTTAAAATGATATGGTTCATGTATTTAAATATGATTACACAATAGTGTCTTTTTTTCCCCACAATCCTGTATCCATTAGAAGATTTTAGCAAGCAGACATGTTTCTTATGATAGAACATTTGTGCTCTTAATTTTGGAAGTATATATTTTAAACATTTTATCTCTGCATTTTTAATTGGTAGTCTGTGAATTTAATGTATCCAGAAGACTTTTTAGTTTGAGTTTTCAGGCAAACAATAAGCCTGAACAAATGTGAAGAGTAAAATAAATCCAACCAAAATAATATCCAAATAAAGTATTTGTTTGTAATCAACCAAGTCAAATCTAATTGTCCCTTCTCCCTCCCATCTTTCCCTATTTTTAAATGTCTCTTTTAATATGAACCTTATATGAAATATTTTATATGAACCTTATATGAAATTTTAAGAAAAAAGTAGACAATACTCATCCTGCAACAACCTTGGTGTGGTTCTATTTGGTTTGCATCATTGCTTGTTAGCACATGGAATTAAAAATAACACAAATAATTACATAACTAGCAGATAATCCTTGTGCATCTTTAAGGGAAATCCTTCCTAGCTCTTTTTCTTCATACCAAATATTACAAGAAGATTTGCTTCTTAGATATCCCCTTCCCACTTTTAGCAATTCAATTCTAGATTCCACCACATTGCTCATTCTATTTTCTTTTAAAAAAATAAATAGGGTATTGATATTTTGCTTTTCTCTTTTTTCCAAGGGATATAATTGCACAACTAGTACAATTCACTGAAATGCAAATGTTCTTGAGAATATATACCCTGTACAAATATAATTTTAATGTTATTCTCAATGGAAGTGCTTTACCATAGGATATGAAAAACAACTCAGTTTTCCAAGAATTTTGAAGTTTTACCCTCAAATAAAGAATTACAGGAATTCTGAAGTTGGAGATATGTTAATAGAAGAATGGAATCAACATCAGTAAAAAGCTAATACCTTATAATGCCATACTCGCAAGATTGCATCCAGTTTTGATTGTCATGATATAAAAAAGATATTGAGAGACTCTAAAAAGAATGCAGAGAAGAACAACAAAGATAATAAAGGATTGAGACAGTTTCAGAAATTAGGTATGTCTAGTTTAATGGGGGGGGGAAGGACCAATGGTGACATAATAGCTGTGTTCCAATATTTGAGGGCAATTAGTGGAACGAGTTACCTCCAGAAGTTGTGGATGCTCCAGTAGTGGAGATTTTAACAAAAGATTGGATAAACATTTTTCTGAGTTTCCTGCCTGAACAGGAGGTTGACCTAGAACAGTGATGGCAAACCTTTTAGAGACTGAGTGCCCAAACTGCAACCTAAAATGCACTGATGTATTGTTGGGTGTTGGGTGGGCATGGCTCACTGAGTGGGTGTGGCCCATTGGGTGGGCATGGCCCATTGGGTGGGCATGGCCCATTGGGTGGGCATGGCCTATTGGGTGGCTATGGCTGTGGTGGTAATGACAGGCTGGGTGGGACTAAAAAGTTCAATCAATTCCAACTTTGCGAAATTTTTTTTTCCTATGAGAAGTTGAAAATGATTGATTGAACCTTTTTGTTTTGCACATGGTGACGGAAGCCTAAAGCGAAAAGGTTTTATAAAATCCAGTTGAAAGCCTAGGACTGGGATGACGGTGCGTGTGCCACAGAGAGGGCTCTCCGTGCCACCTGTGGCACCCATGCCATAGGTTTGCCACCACGGACCTAAAAGCTCAATTCCAACTCTTTTCTTCTATTAAATTTGTGTTTGAAAATTCTCCTCCCCCCCCCAAAAAAGCCAACCCTTCACTGGGCTTTTAACTCTGATTTATTGTTGTAGGCATCCATTGATCTCAACTTGTATTTTAATGTCTATATCTTTGTTGTATGGGGTCCTAATGTTCTTATTTTAGGAAGTGAATATGCAGAAATATTGGGATTGGAAAGTATTCCACAATTTGAACATATTTGAATTAAAGAATTGCTAGCCAATCTGGACATTCGTGAGTACTCTGAAATACTATTTACTTTCAAATCCAAAATGTTGCCTAGTTCTAGTTCAGTGTGACATCTTTCTATTATTTTCTTCATAATATAATTGGTATAATTTCACTCTAATACAAGAGTAAAATAAAGAAATCCTAAACTCAATCCTGTTCATTATTTGGACATAGCCATGCAACCTTGGCACAAACATGAGGACTGTTTCTTTCCCTATGAATCTTTTCATCTTCTCAGTCCAGTTTTGGTATCATACCTGTTGAGCTTCTAAATCTAGACAATTTTGTGGACTGCCATAATATCTTACCATTTACTTTAATTTGTAGTTCCAAATGTTTTGAAAATTCCAGAAGAGACATATCTAGTATCTTGCTTCCAAACTATTTCCCCACAACTTTTCATTACACATCTTACATAAAAAAGACAAGAAATATTACCTATAAAATATATAGTCATCTTATTTTTTCATTCCTTTTAGCCTCTTGTATTTTTTCTTGTCCTTATGTTGCATCCTTTGCTCTTTTAACTCTGTTAATTCCTTCCTTTATTCCATTGTCAACATCTTTGAACCCTCCCCATTTTAAAATTATTTTGGAATAAATGTTATTGCTGCATGATATTTGAAGACAGAAACGGAAGCATGACTTCCCAATATTTTGTGGTTGGAAACACAAGAAAATTGGATTTGAGATTTATTGAAACTGTCCCACTAAATTTGCTGTGTGATTGTGACCTCACCAGTCCCAGAAAGTCTTTATATATTGTGAAATCCTTTTTTTAAAACCGGAACATCATAAATATTTTTGAATAATCTCATATCAGAATAGACTCAGAATTGCCCCTGATATTCACAGGCACTGTACATTCTATAAAGCCATCTCTTTAAAAATCATGATCAGTGATTTAATAATTGACAAATTCAGGTAGTCCTCAACTTATAAACAGAATTGGGCTGAAAATTTCTGTTCCTTAATGAGACAGTTGTTAAGTAACTTTTGCCCCATTTTACAATATTTCTTTTCACAGTTGTTGTTAATCACTGCAATTATTAAGTTAGTATCATGGTTGTTAAATGAATCTGATTTTCCTATTGAGTTTGCTTGTCAGAAATCTCAAAAAGTGATCAAATGATGTTGGGATACTGCAACCATCATAAATATGAACCAGGGTGTGTGGTTCAAGTCTTCTTGTTTCTTTTCTTCCTGGGTTCAGACATTCCCCTCCTTACTGTTATTGCATACAATCGATATGTTGCCATTTGCAATCCTTTATAATATGAATTAGTAATGAACAGGAAAGCATTTGCCAAAATGGTGGGCAGTGCATGGATTGCCAGTTTTCTTATTGCCATATTGCACACTACTGAAACATTTATAACTCCTTTCTGTTTTAATGTTATCAACCAATTCTACTGTGAAATACCACATTTACTTAAGATTGTCTGCTCAGATTCATATATGATTGAAATTGGAGTTATAGTGTTCACCATTTCATTAGCATGTGGATGTTTTGTGTCCATCATTCTACTTATGTGAAAGCTTTCTCTACTTGCCTGCCCCACCTCATTGTCTTCTCAACATTTCTGTTTACTGTTTCCTTTGCTCACGTAAGGCCTCTTTCTATCAAACTTGATTTCATAATTACAATCATGTATTCCATTATTCCACCTATTCTGCATCCATTAATTGATACCATAAAAAAACAAGGATGTTCTTTCAAAAATTCTGGGGTTATTTCTTTGTGAAAAACTGTGAACGTTGTTTTTATGCATGTCTCTACATGAATAGTTAAGCAGATATGGGAAATAAAACTAAACTTAATATTCCCAGGTTTTTTTTATAATTATTATCCTAAGCTAAAATGATGATGTACAGATGATTTATCATGATGATGTACAGATGATGACTATATGAAATTTGACTAAGTTCTTCAAGAATATTAGATTCTAGTTTATTTAAATAAAATGCAAAGTTTTTGGACTTAGAACAATGTGGGATTAAATTCCCTGAGTCCCTGAAGGTTTTATTGGTGTTGAACAGTTTAGATAAAACCTGGGACACAGTTTCTGCCATATTTGAGTGTAAAGAAGAGCAAGACTTAATGTTTGAGGCTTTAAAGGCATGTTTGCTTAATGAAGAAAAAAAGCACCATTTTAGAAGCAGCCATGAGGAGGTGAAATTCCTGAGGAGGGGGTCCAGACTGCAAGTCTCCTAAGAAGAAACATTTTGCAGGCAGAGAGCTAAGCAAGAAAAGAATTGCTACATTTGTGGAACAAACAACCATCTGAAAAGGAACTGTCTGCAAAGGAACAATTTGCATCAGAGGACATTTGTGCAACCAAAAAGGACTGATTTGCAAAAGGAACATTTTGGTGTTGCAAAAGTTTGCTATAGCAACAACAGAGACAAGTGGCTAATAGATAGTGGGGCAAGTCAAACAATTGTTAATGACTCTGAATTATTTTGCAGGTTTGTTCCAGTAGCACAAGAAGCTGTGGCTTTGGCAAATGGCCAGAAAGCAAAAGTCATCGGAAAAGGTGATGTAAAAATTCCCTATTTGGAATCAAAGTTTACCAATGTGCTTTGTGTACCTGAGATGGAACATAATTTGTTAAGTGTGTCTAATTTAGACAAACAAGGTTTTGAGATCATTTTTGTAAATGGGAAGTGTCTCATCAAAAGGAATGGGAATATTTGTGCAGAAGGCATAAAGGAAGATAATCTATATGTATTGCAGGGACAAAAGGTTCAATGTTCCCATATATTTAAGAATGTTGCAGAGCATGATTCATGTGTTCATCTTCTACATAGAAGACTTGGCCATGCAAGCTTTAAAGTTTTGCAGCAAATGCAAGAGTTTGCAGAAGGGCTAAATTTGAAGGGATGCAAAACATATTTGGACTGTGCAGTATGCAAAGCATCGAAGTCAAAGGCATTCCCAGTTAGTAAATGTAGCACAAGACAAACAAAAAGAATTCTAGAGCTGGTCCATGCAGATCTGGTGGGACCTATGCAAGCCAGTTTGGGAGGAGCAAAGTATGCACTGGTAATTGTTGATGATTACAGCAGATATGTTGATGTGACATTATTTTCATGGTGGAAAATAGGCAATTAAATATAATTGGTTGGAATGTTCACATACATAAGCAGTGCTGTTAGCCTTTTAGGAGTATGTCTTAATTTTACAAATCTTTTTAAGCCTATTTTTACTTCAGAAAATTTTATGTGTTTTTCCCTAGTTTTCAGTTTCCAGAAGATATTTCAGCAGAATTACTACAGATTACAAACTGATGTCATATCCTTCTCCCTCTATTGAGAGAGGACTGTTCAATTTTGACCTAGATGATCTTTGTGATCCCTCTTTAAAAATACATCTATTTGCACTACTCAGGTGACCCTGAAGACACAGATAAGCCTCCAGGTAGCATTAATGACTGAAAATACAGGCAATAATTTACCTGCCAACAATTTACAGGGATTATTGCAAATTTATGGATATTTGGAAAACAAGGGTTTGCTATCTGTAGAAGAGAAAAAATACTTCAAAAATTGAAGAAGAACCAAAGACCAACTGATGACTGATAAACTGGTTTTGAAGAATTCAAAGAAAAGATGAACAAATCATGGCATGGATTGATTATAAGAAAGCATTTGATTCTGTTCCACACAGCTGGATTAGGAAATGCTTAGACATTTTTGGAATTAGCAGCAACATCCAGAAATTTCTGAAGATTTCCATGAATCTATGGCAAACTAAGTCGATGGCTTGTAGAGAAGAACTTGGTGAAACTGAAATCAAACAAGGAATCTTACAAGGTGATTCATTATCTCCTCTGTTATTTGTACTTTCAATAGCACAAACAAACATTTTGAATAATACAAATTGTGACTATGAATTGGCTTAAAAAGAGTTGAAAATATCCCATTTGCTCTATATGGATGATTTAAAATTGTTTGAAAAAACAAAAGCTTAATTGAGCTCACTGCTGAAAAGCACTGAAGAGTTTAGAAGAGACATTGAAATATAATTTGGCATTGACAAATGTGCAACAATTGCTGTTAAGGCAGGAAAAAATGTTGATGATGATGGATTCAAACTTGATAATGAAGAGTTGGTAAAACATAAGTTTTGAAAGAGCAACCTCAATGTCCTTATTTCTTATGCCATAGATTGCAATTATGAAATCATGGTTTGATAGAGCATTAAAAAGAGTCATCATGTAAGAAAAACAAACATTAAGCAACTATATGCAAAAGTCAATGAGATGCCAGAACTGAAGAAGCATCTTGGATGAAAAGAGAAACATTTCCAAGGGGAAAAAAAGATTGTCCAATTCTCTTTTGAAAAGCACCTTTGGGACAATCATGAGAATTTCTATAGGCAAATCTGTGAGAAATTGTAGGCAAGCAGAGAAGATCTTCTTTCTTTCTTAAACAGAAGCAATTCTCAGAACAGAGAACGTCTCCACTAAAGCTAAATTAGGATGCAACAAAATGCTTTCAGCTGCAAAAAGTGAAGATGGACATTAGCAAAACGTAGAAAAGGCCAGAATTATTATATTTAATCTTAGAATTGAACTGAAAGCAAATACAATACAGTTTTGTGCCACATCTACATCAATAAGGACAAATGCTTCAGAAATTATATCTTTATAGAAACACACATCTATACAGAATATAATTAATGTACTGCAATTTTGTTGCAAAAATATCTGTTCAATGAAACACTCCCCCCCCAGTATGCATGCCCTATTTGAAAATGAAGTTTCTTTTAACTACTTTTGGAATTCCAATTCACTTTCTCAAAGAAATGTATTTTCTAACATTATGCTTATCATCAATGAAGCATTTCACATAGGCATCCCAATTACATACATCCCCATTACATACATATGAGTTGTAGTGGCACAATTGTTAGAATGCGGTACTGCAGGCTAATTCAGCTGACTGCTGGCTGCCTGTACTTCCAGTTCGATTCTTACTGGCTCAAGGTTGACTCAGCTTTCTATCCTTCCAAGGTCAGTAAAATGAGAACCCAGATTGTTGGGGGCAATATGCTGACTCTGTAAAACCTCTTAGAGAGGGCTATATAGCACTGTGAAGCAATGTATAAGACTAAGTGCTATTGCTGTCTTCCATGCAATCTTGGAATTGACTAAAAATCAAATGTAGGTATAAATAAACTTTATTTGAACTTTCTTTAAACATATATATTTTTCAGATATTTCTTTTAAAATAGATGTCAAAAAACTTGCAGTATAATCCAGTTACATTTTATTATCTTTTAGTCATTTGTATTTAGTCTTAAGAACTATGTCTAAAATTGAAATAGCAGACAAAGGTTTTCAGTTTATAGTTTTTTAAAAAGAAATGCTCTCAGGCTAAGAAATTTTGAAAGAGCAATTCTGATGTCCTTGTTTCTCATACTGTAGATTAATGGATTTAGTAAGGAGGGGAAAACAGAATACATTATTGTAATTACAAAATCAAGATGTGAAGGATTGTCAGATATGGGCCTTAGATAAGCAAAGTAGGCAGTAAACAAAAATATGGAAAAGACAGTGAGGTGTGGAAGGCAAGTGGAGAAGGCCTTTTTCCTTCCTTGAACTGAAGGGATTTTTAGAACAGCAGAGAAGATCTTCACATAAGTAACAATAATGAAGATGAAACATCCAAAACCTAATATAGAGCTGAACATTAGAACTCCAATTTCATTTATGTATGAATCAGAGCAGGCAATCTTAAGTAAATATGGAATTTCACAATAGAACTGATTGATAATATTAGAGCAGAAAGGAGTAGTGAATGTTTCAGAGGTGTTTAGCACAGCATTGAGAAAACTGGCAATCCACACACTGCCAACCATTGTGATGCAGGCATTCCTATTCATTATCATTTCATATTGTAAAGGGTTGCAAATAGCAACATGCCGATCATATGCCATGACTGTAAGGAAGGCTACATCAGAACTCAGGAAGAAAATAAACAAGAAGACTTGAGCAATGCAACCAGAATAAGAAATATACCTTATATTCATAACAAGATTAAAAACAGCTTTGGGGATAATGATTGAAACAGAACCAACATCTTGAATAGCTAAATTCATTACAAAGAAATACATTGGAGTGTGAAGATGGTAGTTAGCAGTGATTGCACTGATAACAAGAACATTCCCTATTACTGTCATTCCATAAAGTATCAGGAATAAAGCCATATAGATAAATTGTTGCTCCCGAATGCTTGAGAATTCCAAGAGAAGAAATACTGATGTGTGATTACCCATTTTTTAAAAATTATGAATCTTCATATGCCTTGGAAAACAAGTAAATAATTTTTTCATTCAGTTCTCCTTGGAAAAGTTTGAAGAGTAACTTCAATCTTTCACTGAAGTAACATTACATCTTCAATTTATAAATTGATATAAAAATAATTTTAGATTTTCTTACTCCATAAAATTTGCCTGCTGTTTCTTTCTCATTCGCTCTTCTTAAATGAAATTTCAATCTCTAGTAGCAGTTTGCTTTTTTATTCTGTTTTGACTTGAACTACAAATGAAAGGGGAAGAAAGTATGCTATAAATATTGAATACAAAAAAGAAAAGAAGGGAACAAATTGTTTGATATAAAACAAATAACTCACCGTTTTTATCCATGTGTATTTTTTCAAGCTTTCTCCTTTTTTCTTTGTTTATCCATCAGTGAGATTTTCTTCTGTGAAGACATTAAATGTTTTGCATCCACTATCTCTTGCCCTTTTCCCCAAAGATTTTTTTTCAAAATGGTTTCCATTGGCAGTCTCAGAAGATTGCCATGGATTGAACTATTTTTAATAGTCCCTGGGACCACATTATTTTACCTGAAGAATTATACAGGAAAATCAACACCCTGATGTTGGGATTAGTAGATTTAAGATGGTAGAAAATGTATAAAAATATTATGCAGTAAATTAGTCTTTTATATTTTAAGTACTCTATTATATTTTGTTCAAGTGTGAAATTAATGAGCCATATTATTCCGTCATATATTCCCCTATTTATTTGTGGAGAGATTCAATATTTTATTTTTATTTCATAAAAAGACAATGCTTATTTCTATAATTATCTGTCGTAAATTAGGCATTACATATGGGTCTTTTAAAATTAAGTTCCTACATGAGTGGTATCAGGCTCAAAATTAAGAAAAATATAGATTGAAAGTTCTTCCTTAATCAAGACAGCTTTCTCTGTTAAAACTGCTTTTCAATCCATTCTCCAGTTTTGGAGAAATTTAAAAGTTTTTATTAAAAATGGAAGTTTTTCATGAGATTTTGAACTTGAATTTATCTATATATATTATGCTAATTATGCTAATCTTGCTATAGTCACTCTGGATGATTAACCAAAAAGAAGAAAAAATAATAAATAGTAAAAAAATTGGCCTTTCATCCATAAATATAAGGGTACAAAAAGCAATAATCTTATAGGAAACTATTCCACATGCCTTGTACTGTTTTCATGAAATAACAGCATCATAAACAACTTAATGATAATAGATAAGATGAATCTATGTCTAAAATTATTCTCATAATTTTTGCTAGATCATGAACTTCTGAGTGACATCAATTATCATAGACTATTGAGGAACCTTTTAAAGATTTTAGACAAGAGACACTACACCAGGGCTGTAGCAGTTGCTGCTTAAGAATGCTTTCAAACATTTTAGAATTCTCCAAATAAAGGATTAGGACAGTGGTGGCGAATCTATGGCATACATGCCAGAAGTGGCACTCAGAGCTCTCTCTGTAGGCACGCATGCCATTCCCCGGAGATGGTAACCATCCCTCTTCAACCAGCCACCCACTAACTCACCGAGGTTCCACGTGGCTGGATGCACCCATGCTCTCACTGGCCTCTGTGTGCAGGGGCCAATGGTGTCAGGCAGCAGCCATCCCAGTCCCCACCTCACCTTGCCCTGCGACAATGGCACCCCCACCCTGCCTCACCTTACCTCACCTCACCCTGCAGGATGAGTCTCCTGCCAATTGCTCCACCTGCCAGAGACCCCCTGGATCTCCCCCAACCCTGCTCGGCCCCCACAGGCGTCCCTCCCCTTGAGCAACATTGATCATGCCCACCTTGGCCACACCCACTCAGTCTGCCATGACCATTACAGCCATGCCTACCCAGTGGGCCATGCCCACCTTGCATCCGGTGATAAATAAATGGGTTTTGGGTTGCAGTTTGGGCACTTGGTCTCTAAAAGGTTTGCCATTACTGGATTAGGAAATCCTCCAAAATGCTACTAGTTCATAATCCTATCATGTGAAATGTAGAAAGGAAATTTTGAAGACCTGATTCAAAAAGACCTTTTTTAGTTGCTTATGAATTTTTTTTAAAAAAGGAAAAATATTTAGAGAATCACATAAATATGTTTTGATGTGATTCAGACCATCCTTTGAATTAGTTGTTGAATTAACTAGATTCAAATGAAATAATATGAAATAATCTGAAATTTAGTTGAATGAAAACACACTAAACACACTAAATTTTCTCTTTAATAAGATGAACCAAAGATAAGAGTTCAGACTTCAGTAAATAAAGAATTTATTGTTATTTAGGATAGATAAGTGATCTCTGGATCACTTCTAGCACACTTCCCTTCTTTATATAATTATATTTAAAGAGCCAGGATCAGAAAAGTGGTAAGAAAAATAAGAGAAAGGTAAGAAGAATGAAATTGTTAAGTGAATCAAGAGCCTTTTCCTCAAGAAATTATCAATTACTGCCTCCAGTCTCAAGGCCAAATTGTAGAATAAGAGATCAATAGGCAAACACAACAATTTATTCAGCAATGATTATGGTAATTTAAGCTCAGTCATTGTGCTTTGGATTCTAATTGATTAGAAAGCTGGATGATAGATAGATAGATAGATAGATAGATAGATAGATAGATAGATAGATAGATAGACACAGACAGACAGACAGACACAGTATGATTACAGTTCAGAGGCTAAATTATTTGTTCTATAATCTGTTTTCTTGCTTATCCATTATATTTTCAGAAGTATTTTTCAACACCATATTTAACAAGCATCATTCCCACTGTTTTATCCTGTTTCTTCAGATTTCACTTCCCTATAGCATCACAAGGAAAATCATTCCCTGCACAGTTCTCATCTTTGTAGATATATATATGCATATATGGTCTTTTAAAATGCTAAGTGGTCACTTCCCCAAACTAGAATGTACTAATACACATATCGATGTATTATTGTAGTTTTCTTGTACATGATCTGCTCTTTTACAGTGACAGAGAATAGTCTTTATTATCCTTGCATGTACTACTCTACAAACAATCTAAAAAGTAAACACTTTAAGACCTATAGCTTTTAAACCGCATGAAGGAAAGACATTCCAAAAAGTGCAGATGGACAGGAGAAATATAGGATAAGACCATGTTGTGAATTAAATCTGAACTCATGAAAATTGTTTTATTAATTCTCTATATGATTTTTAATAACAGATACTGGAAAAACAGTTTGAAAGTACTTCTCAGCAACTACACACAAACATAGTTAATTTCAAGTCTTTATTATTATTTTTCAAACTCCAAAATATTTTCAGACCATATACAGACCATAATTTGAAAGTATTTTATCTAGTCTGACCAGGACCTATGAAAAACTTGAAGTCCAAAGAGCTTCCATTTTATGCGACCTCGCATTCCTACGCAACTGCCGAGATCAAAATCTAATCCCCACATGTTTCCAACTGAAATTCCACTCCAACTCTGCAGCCACCAAACGGATCCTGAAAAGAACAGAATTGGCCCTAATCAGAAATGAACTTCACACAAAAAGATTCCTCCTAGACCGAATTAACAAAGATCTCCTCACACTCCACCTCAAACTCAGCAACAAGATCCACCCCGCACTTTGGGACAAATCCAAACAACTCGCCATCTGGAGAGCCGAAACACAGACCACCCTCAAGACAGATACACACACCAACAAACTCCGAAGACTACAAGAACGCCAGAAACAAACCCCTCCTCCCTCACAGCCACACATGAAACAAACAGTGCATAACATCTCAGATAGGATCCTCACCAAAGCCGAAACCAATGTCCTTTCCAAAGGATTCAACTTTGCAGTCGCTCCCAAACACATCCCCACTGAAACCATTATATGTGGAGTTGAAACCAGCCTGACCAAAATCAACCCCGACGACGCTAACAGAATCAGACTCGAAATCACCAACATCCTCTGCACCAGCAAGCCACCCAAAAGCAACTTACCCAAAGAGGAACAGACAGCACTACGTAACCTGAAAGAAGACACCAGCATAATAATCCTACCAGCAGACAAGGGCAACGCCACAGTGGTTATGAACACATCTGACTACCAAACCAAATTAACCAACCTACTCCAAGACTCCACATACAAACCCCTAAATACAGATCCCACCACCTACCTGGAAAAAACCACCAGATCCAAAATAAAAGCCTCCCCCATTAGCGAAGAGATCCAGCAAAGAATCATTCCCAGAGAGAAATCATCCAGATGCCCCAAACTCTATGGTCTCCCCAAGATACACAAAGAAGGAACCCCACTCAGACCTATAGTCAGCTCCATAGGCTCACCTCTACAAAACCTAGCCAAATTTCTCGCCAAACAACTACAGCCCTATGCAGAATCCATCACCTCACACGTAAAAAACTCATTCCAGTTTATAGAGATCATAAAGAAACAAAACTTACAGCCCAGCGACCTACTAGTGAGCTTCGATGTCATATCCCTCTTCACCCAAGTGCCTATCAAAGAAGCCTTGACAGCTATTCAAAACAAATATAACCCCCCCAAACACATCTTAGATCTGACCAACCACTGCCTATCCAACACATACTTCATCTATAATGGACAAAAATACAAACAAACAGAAGGAGCACCCATGGGATCACCCCTCTCACCTGTCATTGCCAACCTCTACATGGAACACTTTGAAACCCAAGCTCTAGAAAAATCGGATCACAAACCCAAACTCTGGCTCAGATACGTAGACAACACCTTCATAATCTGGCCACATGGGAAAGAAAAACTGGACAACTTCCTCACACACCTCAACAGCCTACACCCCAAAATACAGTTCACCATGGAAACAGAAGCTAACAACCAACTTCCCTTCCTGGATGTCTTAGTCTACAAGAAATCCAATGGCTCCCTAGGACACACCATCTACCAGAAGAAAACACACACAAACCGCTATCTGCACGCTCTCTCACACCACCACCCAGCACAGATCAACTCTGTAGCCAAGACACTCATCTCCAGAACAAAACGCTTAGCTGACGAACAACACCTAAAACCCGAACTACACACTCTCACCAATGTACTAACATCCAATGGATTCCATAGAAATAAGATTACAAACCTAATCCAAAAAGAAACCCCCACTAAAATCCAAGACAAAGAACAAGAAAACGGCAAAGCCCTCCTCCCATACATAAAAGGCACCACAGACAGAATCAGTAAGATCCTCCATAAACACAACATCAAAACAGCATTCTGCACAAACAGAAAAATATCCACCATCCTTAGAAACCCCAAAGATAAAATTGAATTAGAAAATCAAGGAGTATACGAAATCCCATGCACCACTTGTCCCACCACATACATCGGACAAACCAACAGAAGAATAAGTGCACGCATTGAAGAACATAAGAACTCAGTCAAAAAAGAGGAACCAACATCTTCCCTGGTCCAACACCTTAAAGCCACAGGACATGAAATTGACTTTAAAAATAC